AGGGGAGGGGCTTGAGCAGACTTACACAACAGGTGTAGACCCAAGTATGCAAGTTACTGGGAACCAGTTGGAATCCGATGACCTGTCAAGGCTAGCTGTCCCTAGAGTGTGAACTCCCAATGCCCTGCTAGCCGCGTCTACCTTCCCAGTGTTTTCCTGATTCGGTAATTACACGCAGCACATGCATCTTTAATAAGTCCATTAAGTTTGCTGCTAACTCACAACATCCTTCGTGCCAGGGAAATGACAAAATCAAGGGCAGAGAAGGGTCGCTTCTGCTGGGGGGACAAGGGCATTGATAACCTGATATAGTATTTATTAGTGGCACAGCAACAAGCACAGTACTTTGCTAAGCCCTCTCATTTTATTAAAGGCCTTTACTAAAGCCTCACCTCACGACAACCCAGTCACACTGTAACAATTAATGCCATTTCACAGATGAGAAAACCAGAAGGCTAAACCTTACTACTTGCGTAAGGTTTTACAGTTAGTGTCAGAATGTGACAATGTTAAACTTCTACTCCACAGTACCACCTCAGCCCCGACATGAAAATCACAAGCTAGCAGACCTCACGTTCAAGGACAACCTAGGCTACATACTGAGATCCTGTCTCAAAAATGAGAATTTCACAAGATTATTTTTTTGGAACTTCATTGGATAAAAAGTAAATAAAATAAGCACATAGTACTTTTGCAACAGCCAAATTCTTCATCCCAATCAACATTATCTATCACCACTGTTCTAAAAGGAGGGCCTGGGTGCATAGCTCAATGTTAGATCATGTGCTTACCATGTCCAAAGACTTGAATTCAATCCCCAGTGTCCCCCCAAAATGTTTGGTGTTTTTTTGTTTTTGTTTTTTTGCGGTGCTGGGCTTGAACTCGAGGCCTATACCTTAAGCCACTCCACCAGTCCTTTCTTGTGATGCATTTTTTTTGAGATAGGGTCTCACTATTTCCCCGGGCTGGCTTCGAACAGTGATCCTCCTGATCTCTGCCTCCTGAATAGCTAGGATTACAGATTCGAGCCACCGGCGCCTGGCAAAATGTTTTCATTTTTCAAAAAGGCAAGCAGGTGGATGTACTTAGTGCTCCCTTATGTCATTCATTTAAAGAAAATCTAGAATCTTTCTTGTAGTAGAACCAAAAAGGAGCCAAAGTGCCAAACAGCCTGGAAGCTGGAGCTCTAAAATCCATGCCAGGAGGCTGCCTCAGAAAGCTGCCTCGAGCTTATACAAGTGGCTTGGTCTTGGCCTTGGGTGTCTTCCCAAGCATGTTTACTAGGCACTGTCCCCATGCAGCAACACACTGCCCTTCCTCTTCCCCATCCATTATAGCTCCAACCAGTTGCCTGAACATTTCAGTTTCATACAAGAAAATAGAAGACAAGGGCTGGAGGTGTAGCTCAGTGGTAGAGCCCTTGCCTAGCATGTTGCAAAAACCAGCCAAACAAAAAGCTAGTATATTGGCCCAGGAATACATAGATCAACTGGAAAAAAAGAGAGAGACAGAGAAAGGACCACCACCACCAAAAAAAAGGCAGGGCTGGGGGTGCAGCTCAGTGGCAGAACTCTTGCCTAGCATGTACATGGCCCTGGGTTTGACTCCCAGTGCCACAAAAATAAAACTAAACTGAAAACGGAGAACTAGGTTCTCCTTTCCCTGATCTAGAAAATTCCATACCACTCAAATCTAATATAATTCAACTCTCGTGGCAGGTATTAAAAAAAAAAAAAAACCTGTCAAAAAAATTGTACTTCAAGAACCTGATCACTGTCTGGTTAAAACAAACCCTTCCTCCTTCACAAATTATACCACTGTTTTCATAAAACAAAACTGATTTGCTACACAGGGGGATTTACCCAGAGTGCTGCATTTGTTCTTGCCGGAGTACTTGCTGATACTCAGAAGGCTAGGCTATGAATTCCCATCCTGCATCACAAAAAAATTAAAAATGAGAAGTTATCAAATGGTGTGTTCTAGCATCGTTAGGGAACACACCTGCCACTGTGTGGGCTAGGCACAACCCAGGTGATAGCACTGAAAGCAGCCAAACATAGTGAGCATTCACCATATGCCAGCACCATACCCCAGGCTTTGCGCTTGTCTAACCCTGGACTCACCTTCTCCCCTAGAACCATCACTCAACAACAGCATATCCTGACCCTATGATTCTTTTCAAAGCTCAAAAGGGCAGTTCTGATACCTCCAGTGTTGGGGTTAGCAGAGTTACATCCTCTGAGGCAGGTGAATCGATGCAGTACAGGGAGGCAGGACCACTGTGGACTGCTGTTGCTCACTCCAGAACCTGGGGCTGCTAACCTGGGTCAGCTCGCCCTGTGGCAACTCACCAGGTTGTCCAAGTGGTTATGCATGTGTCTAAATTACACCTACTATGTTTTTTAAAAAGTTACTAAGTATATGTGGAAACACCAAACACCTTGCAAAGTGCTGGGTTCGCGCCTGGCATTCCCAGTTGGGAGTCACCTCTGGGTGCCTGTGTTGTCAGTCCTTGCAAAGGGGCTGGAGCAGACACTTCAGTTCTCTCAGTATGCCATGCTCCACATGCTCTTTAAGTGGCGTAAAGGTATGGGAAGACTGGATGGGCAGGAAGTAATCCAAAACTGTCTTTACCCCCAGGATTTTTTTTTTTTCCCTCCAGTGCTGGACATGGAACTAAGGACCTGGCACATGCTAGGCAAGTGCGCTATTGCTAAGCTATATCTGGGCCACCTAGGACATCATTAAATCTCATCAGAATGGCACCCTGTACTACAATAGCCTCCCAGGGAGGAAACAATGGCTGCAGTCACACCCTGCACCCTTCACTAACAACTCACTATTAGTGTTTTCAGAAATTTTAGGAATAACATTTCCAGAAAGCCACGGCGGGGGAGGGCGGGTAGGGAATGAAGCTAGCATATCAGTGTGACCTTGGCATAATCTAGAAGTCTGGCACAAGGTTAGACCAAGGCCATTGTAACACACTCCCACTTAAGTTCTCAGGCAAGATTCTGGATAAAGACACTGCAATATATACTAGAAATGGATTTTCACTTTTCCAAAGAAACAATTAAGGGCTGGGGTGTAGCTCAATGGAAGAGCACTTGCCTGATTTGCCTAGCATGTGTCAGGCCCTGGATTGGGTTCTGTTTTACCCCTGCACCATAAAAAAGAAGAGAAAAGAAACAATGAAGTCTTTTTTCAGAGATCTGAGTGAATCAGAACTTTTAAGGGTCTAATGAGGAGTGACTCAATGCCAATGGAGCCATGTTTTGTTTTTGAGACATGGTCTCACTATATAGCCCAGGCTGGCCTCTAACTCTTGCTTCTTCTGCCTTAGCCTCCCAAGTGCTAAGATTACAGAGGTACACTGGCCAGTTTTCTCTGTAAGATCACCTTTCATGGTTTACAGGTAAAATAAAATCTAAACCCTTTGTAAGGACAAGACACATCTTGAGAGTTGCTGAAAGTCAGTGTTAGAAAAAAACTATGTATTGATATAGAATTACATGTTTTATTTCTATGGTTATCCATCAACCAGATGGTAACCTTGTTATGGTTTATTTGAAATCTGAGTGACTGAATGGAAACCAGCCTGGTCCACCACTGTAATCCCAGCACTTGGGAGGCTAAGGGAGAAGAAGCAAGAGTTAGAGGCCAGCCTGGGCTACATTTTGCAAGAGCCTGTCTCAAAAAACAAGAGATCAGGGGGATTTCAGTTCAAGGCCAGTCCTGGAGAAATAGTTCACGAGACCCTATCTTGAAAAACACCCATCTTCAAAGAAAGCTGGCAGAATGGCTCAAGTTGTTAGAGCACCAGCCTCGAAAGTGTGAGGTCCTGAATTCAAATCCCAGTGCAGCCAAAAAAAAAAAAGTTACATACATTTTACTAAGAAACAGATATTGAGGTTGGGAGCTGAAGATTAGGTTACTTCCTTTGGTGAATGATGACCTGAAGTCACCCAGAAACCTGGAATCCTTTTGTTATACAAGATTAAAATGTGGTTCCACATCAAACTGTATCTCTCACCTTTATCTTCACCGTGATTATATAAATGATTAAAGAAATAGCCAGGGAAAGGTGACTCACGCCTATAATCCTAGCTACTCAGGAGGCTGAGATGAGGAGGATCACATTTCAAAGCCGCCTGGGCAAACAGATCAAGAGACCCTATCTCAAAAATACCCAACACATAACAGGGTTGGTCAAGTGGTTCAAGCGGTAGAGCGCCTGCCTAGCAAACATGAAGCGCTGTGTGAGGAGTTGGGAGGGGAGAGAGGTAATTAAAGATATAAAGGCAAGAACAGAGATAGAAAAGACAGGTCACAGAGTAAGGGCAAGAGGCCCCTCCTAATACCAAGAAGGCAATGAAGCAGGTCCCCAGCGCTGCTTTCATAACAAAACCCTCAGTGCCACTTTAGGGCAATAAATAGGTACAATACCTGTGTACAACTTTTCCCATACTTACATTTTTCCCAATATAAAGGGTGGCCAATGGCCATGCAAGGCATTTATTTTAAGGGAAGCGAAATAGAGACCACAAAATCCCCTACCACCTTCAAGATGTATGTAAATACATACGCAACGATAAACATCAACACAGATGACAAACGGGGACACCCGAGGCCAAGGTTGCGTCCTGCAAGATAGGGGCTCTAGGCCATTGGGTCACGTGCGGCCCGCACAGGCCCCACAGTGCCGCCAAAGAGGTCACCCTGTAGACACGCCACCCACACCCCCGCACCGCGGGGCGGCAACCTGGAGGAACGGAGAGGGACCCGCTTTCTCCCGGCCCCGCCCGCCTCGCCCCCCGCGGCTCCGGCGCCGCCCCAGCAGGTACCAGCCCAGGCCAGCGCCTGCGCAGTGGGCACCCGCGCCGAGCCGCCGGAGGGCGGCGGGACGAGGCGAAGTCCGGACAGCCCGGCCCGGCCCGGCCCGCTGTGGGACCGGCGGGCGCTGAAGGAACCCGTCCCCAGGGCGAGGGTCCCCGGCTCACCAGTGCCCAGCAGGCAAGTCAGGAGCAGGAGAGCGTACATGGCGACGCCGGACTCCGCCGTCTGCAATGCAGAGCGTCAGCTGACCCCGGCGCCTATAAACCTGTCCCCAGCCCCGACGAACACTCAGTGCGCAGGCGCAGGCCCCGCCCCAGCAAGGCGCAGCCTGACTCAGCGCGGCGCTGGGCGCCTGCGGGGAGGGAGGGCGCGGAGGAGGGGAGGGAGGAAGGAGGAGGGGGGAGGAGGGGGGAGGGGGAAGGGAGGGAGACGAGAGAATGGTGGACCAGGAGGCGTGCTGCTGCTGGAGGGAGGGAACCGCGAAGCTGCGAACAAAAATCCCTATCGACTGGATGAATCAAACTCAGAGATTAGCTCAAAATAGCATAGCTGTTTTTTTCTTTTTTTCAGTGGCGGAAATCGAACCCAGGGCCTTTCCAATAGTAGGCAAGTGCTCTGCCACAGAGCTGCATCCTCAGCCTTTAATATATCTTTTAAGGCTCACATTTTCCTTTCTTTTTTTCTGAAGGACAATTTTTGTTTGTTTGATTTTTGAAACCGGGTCTCGCCGTGGTGCCCAGGCTAGCCTAGAGCTCACGATCCTCGTGCCTCAGCCTCCCAAATAAATTTTTTGAGACGCTGGGAATCGGAACCCGTGCCTCGCGGTTGTGCGCCACATCTCCAGCCCTATTATTTTTATGAACAGAATACCCAGCAGTGTGTATTTAACCCAGTTTGGTGATGAGTTCTTTAGCCCTTGCCTTTACCACCTTGGCAATGGGAGCCTTGGATTTTGGGGCACAGGAGGTTGCTTCCTGGCTCACATTCTCTATGAGGTACCATTTACTATTCCTAGTGCCATTTTACAGATGAGAATTAGTAGCAAACGGGCTAAGGACGTCTCCAAGTTCTTGTAGTCAGAATTCACACTCCACCCTCACTGTCTCTCTCCATCAATCCAGACTCAGAAACTGGCAAAGACAAAAAAAAAAAAAAAAAGACTTTGGGGTCGCAGGAATTGCAATTTGGAAGATTCAGGCTCAGATATCTCTTCATCAGTGTTCCAAAGAAAGCAGGGAGTCAGGGCATGGAAGCTCGAGGCCCAGCTACATGGAAGATGGAGATTGGGAGGATTGAATTTGGAGGTCAGCCAGGACAAAAAGTTAGTGTAAGACACCCTCTGCCCTGCCATCTCAACCAATATGCCAGGAGTGGTGGGGCATGCCCATGGTCCTGAGGGACTTTAGGCAGGAGGATCAGAAAGATCATTGCCCAGGCCCCCTGGGCCAAAACTTGAAACCTACCTGAAAAATAATTAAAGCAAAGAAATGGGCTAGAGGCATGGCTCAAATGACAGAGTGCTTGTCTAGCAAGCACAGGTTGGGAGTTCAAAACCCGGTACCACCAAAAAAATAAAGCAGGGAGAGTTGTAGTTTAAATAGGCAATCAGTGAAAAGCATTAAAATTTTCACTGCAGGGAACCTCTATGGAATAAGAGAAAGGTCAGGTGATGTATGATAGGGATGCATGAGCACAGAAGATAAAGACAAGAATGTATCTGCTTAGTAAATGTCCATAACAAGCCAGTGTGGTGGCACCCTCCTAGCACTGGGGAAGGAGGCAGGAGGATCATGAGTTTGAAACCAGCCTGGACTACTCAGGAAGACACTGTCTTCACAGAGTGGCACGTCCTCTGAATCACCACAGGCCCCTCAACCCCGCCCTGTGAGTCTTTAAGACCCTGTTTGCCAAGTTTTAAGACGGGATGTCAGGGGGACTGTCTGATTGTTTTACACATCAAAATCAAGGGTCTTCTTCCAACCCTTTAATATGTTAACATCCCTGGGACCAGACTTGTAAGTGAATGTCTTGCACACATTTGCATTGTAAATAATTAAAAATAAGTTCAGATTTTTTTTATTAAGTCCTCCTCCCTCCTATTTTTCTACATCTGTTCAGTCTGTAGGGTTGTTCATTATTCTAACAAGGTGTGGTGTGTCAGCAAGGTGCAATATGGGTAGAATACATTGTAAAATATAAGGTTTGGAAGTCAAAATTATAGTAAAGGTTGCAGGCGTGACTCAAGCTGTAAGAGTGCCTGCCTAACAAGTGTGAGTCCCTGAGTTCAAACTCCAGTGCTGCCAAAAAAAAAAATTTAATAGGACACGTATATAAATAGTGACTATTTTGCCTTTCATTCAAACCTGGCAATCTATCTCTGAAAGCTGCCAGATGTCCAGTATTATAAGTTATCATGGATCTGTCTGGTGGACACAGTCCTTGAGAACAACCTCAATTATATAGAGAATTTTAAAATGTTAAACTGTAATTTATATTTAAGAAGCATTCCTAGTAAAGGTGCCCAAGAAATTTTCTTGGCTATTTATTGTGTTAACCCTTTCTTTAGAGAACTGTTTTTTTCCCTTTTGTGTACTTTTAAACCAAAGATTGGATTTGAGCAAATGCACTTAGTATAATCAGTATTAAAAAGCTCACACCTGTAATCCTAGCTACTTAGGAGGCAGAGATCAGGAGGATGGAGGTTCAAAGCCAGCTGGGCAAATCGTCCACAAAAAGCTGGTGGGGTGGCTCAAGGTGTAGGCCCTGAGTTCAAACCCCAGTACCACCACAAAAAAAAAAAAAAAAGAGTTTATTATGAACACACAGAAATAAAAAATAGGTTAAGTTTAAAAAAAAAAAGACACTGTCTCAATTTTTTCTCCTTTTTATTTTCACAGAATATAAAAAAAGATTAACAAATTACCCAACTCCTCACAGTCAGGATCAAACTCACCACCCACCCACACTGTCTCCTGATTTGTGTGTGTAGGACTTGCCTTGCTAGGATCCCTGTGAGCTTTTTGCTGTGCCCTGCTTACATACAATCACTTTCTTTTTTTTTTTTTTTTTTTTTTGACAGTCCTGGGGTCTCTTTTATAAGACTGTGGGTCTCCCCATGACCCACAGACAGGTTTCTCAGTATTAGATGCAGTCCCTTCCAATGGTCTATCCTAGTTGATCTGTTGAGTTGGAGGAAGTAGAGAGAGACCCAGGAATAAAACGGGAGAACATGACTGTAATCCCAGCACTCAGAAGGCAAAGGCAGGAGAATTGAGAGTTCCAGGCCAGCTGGACTATAGAATGAGACCCTGTCTCAAAAAGAAACATGGGGGGACTAGGAAGTAACTTAGGACTGGAGAACAGGAAGCAAAGCCAAAATTTGCAAACCCAGCTAAAGATCAGCCTTCTGGAAACAGAAGCAAACCCACCCTGCCCAACCCTCATTCCCTACCTCATTCCAGAAAGAAAAGGGGAAGTCTGGGTGGCCCAACAAAAACCATTCACCTCTGGCCAGGTGCTAGTGGCTCACATCTGTAATCCTAGCTACTCAGGAGGCAGAGATCAGGAAGATCACAGTTCAAAGCCAGCCCCAGGCAAACAGACGGGAGGAAACTATCTCAGAAAAAAACATCACAAAATGGGCAGGCAGAGTGACTCAAGTAGTAGAGCGCCTGCCAACTAATGAGAATCCCTGAGTTCAAACCCCAAAACCCCAGTACACACACACACACACACACACACACACACACACACACACACACACACACACCAGGAACAAGTGCCTGCTGACTCCATGGAAGGCAAGGAGGAGAATTTCAGTCCGTTGGCCCTTAGAGGCCATCCAGTCCCATTCTGTCATTGTACTGGGGGGACTGAGGCCTGGAGAGAGAAAGATATGCCTCCAAGGTCACGTGGCAGATGGGGACAGAACCTTGTTTGAGAGCAGCATCCCCCAGCTCCTGCAACTTGTCATGCCCTCTGAGGAGCAGCCCACAGACAAGAGCCTTGGAGCTTTCCCTTCTCCCCCGCCGCCCTGCCCGAGCTGCCCTACACTCCCACTTCCCCCGGGGAACTGTGCACCAAGTGAGTTGGGGCAAGATGAGGGTGGCCTCTGTGGCCAGAGGGAGACTTCAGGGTTACCCCATCTCTGAGCTTCCCAAGGCCAGGCACCAGAAACTGGCTAAATGCCAGAAAAGGAGCCCGCCTCCCTGGGCTGCTTGCTGATAGAGAAGTGAAGCTTCCTGGTGTTCTGGGAGAGGTTGCAAGACTCAGAGCCCAGAGGAAGCTTGGAGACCTTGGGATCAGGCCCTCCCTTGGGGGAGTTGCTCAAGCCTCTGGGTTAGAGACAAGGGAGCCTGGGCCAACCTGGCCTCTTTCCTAACACATCCTTCATAGCTGCAGGACTATGGCAGTGCTTCTGCTGCCCTTTCATTTCCCTACCTGTAACTCCCCAATACTGTTACTTCCTCTGCCTCCTTCTGAACCTATGAGGATGCCTGAAATTCCAGCTACTCAGGAGACAAAGATCAAGACCTGTCCAGGTAAAAATTTAGAGAGACCGCGTCATCTCAACCAACAAGCCAGGCCTGGTAGTACAAATCTGTCATCCTAGCCACTCAGGAAGCATGAATAGGAGAATCGTGATTCAGGTTGACCAGGGAATTAAACTCAAGACCCTATTAAAAAATTAATAAGTATAAAGAGCTGTGAACATGGCTCAAGTGGTAGAGCACAAGCCTAGAATGGGCAAGGCCCTGGGTCCAAGCTCCAGTACCACCACCACGGAAAAAAAAAAAAAAAAAAAACACCAAAATTGATTCACAGTTCTGCACCAAGTCAGCAGATGCTTAATCCTCTTTAAATACTTTCTTAGATACGTGCACAGGCAACAAGAGCTGGGAAGCATTTCAGTCCTTTTTATCCTGTGATACCAGTTCCAAGGAAGTATTTTCTCCTGGGTGTTCACAGAAGAGTTCTTTGTAACAGTAGGTGGAACCTGGAAGAATCCCAAATGCCCGACAATGATGAGGGAAACTGGTCTGCACAGAACAATGTACCAAAGAAGCAGCCAATGTGCAGCCTGCCTGGCCTGCCAGAGAGTGGGTTCTAAGAAACATGGGTAGAGTGGGACCCCAAGCCCATCTTTAGTTTTGTTTTTTGGGTTTTTTTTTTTTTTTTTGAGACAGGCTGGCCTTGAACTTCTGAGTTCCTTGAACTCCTTCTGCCTCAGCCTCCTGAGTTCCAGCACCCCATCTCCTAGTCAAGCTCTGCTCCTG